AGATACTTGATGAACCTATACTCAGGAAAGACCGCTGAAAATAAGATGATAATGAAGAGAAACCTTCCTCACGGGGGTACGTTCCCATTGGATGAGAATGAAGCTAAGAAAATAAAAGAAGAGGATACTATTCTTGAAACCATATGGTTCTGCAAAGTGTTATTAATTTTTGCGACAGGTGAAATGTATTTGGGTACCGAGTCAGACACTCATATAAAGACACATAAAGAGCAAACAGCAAATAATATAATAAAGAGGCCTAGAAATAAAAGGAAGGACAGCGAGAGCGATGATGTGAAACCCGATACGAAGACTAGTTCGTTGCCTGGTTCCAAATTCTTCCATCAAGCTTCTGAATTATTTACTGGTTTGTTTGCATCTGGAGCGATTGACAATGTGAGGAAAGATGGAGGTGTAGAGGCGATGCTATTGTACGCATTTTATTTACAAGTAGCAGATTGCACTGTCTCATCATATTTCTATTTCGGTATGGCATTAAGGGCAGCTTTAATTTTAGGGTGGCATGTTGATGCTGACAAGGAAAATTTGAACAGATTTGAGTTGGAGCATAGAAGAAGAATATGGTGGACCGTATATATGTATGAAAGAATGCTTTCATCAAAAGCTGGATTGCCACTTAGTTTTGCCGATGCCAGTGTATCCACTGAATTACCATCAGACTTTGATATGCGTCTAGATGATTTCCCGAAGGATGAGAAAGATGTTAGAGGATATTACATATTTCCACCAAATGAATACATCAAGAACTGTGTAACAATTACTCAAATTAATGCTATAATTTTATCCGCATTATATACTAAACAACCAACTGTTAACATTTTGCCAGTTGTGTCCGATTTAGTACATAAATTATTAAGCTGGAAGAGTTTGCTCCCCGATTTCTTGAAAGTGGACTTCTCAGCAGATAATATGCATGTTTCCAGACTCGTAGTTAACCTTATGACAGAATATTTCCAAGGGATGAATCTTGCTGTTCGTCCACTATTGTTTCATTTTGCCACGAAGAAGTTGAAGGAACTACAATTCCAGAATAATAGCAGCAAGTACGTTGACTTGACTAAGTATTCAAAAAATGTTCTAAGTTTGTTGAATAGCTCATTTCAAGCATCAATAAGTACGGTTAAATGCATATGGTCCCTATTACCTGAAAATATGGTTGCATTGTTTGGATGGATGGACAGAGAATACTTGTTTACTTCTGCATCGACATTGATTTTATTTAATGCATCTTTTGGTGTTCACGATGCGACGAAGGAACATTTAGACCATGCCCTTATAATATTCACAAGAATGAAAGATTTAGGGAATTATCCAGCTGCCTTAAGAAGAGCTCAATTATTGAAATTAATTAGTGTTTTAGATTTTAATGGTGTTATGTCTGATTTATTGGCTAAGCATGACATTGATGACCTTTATAATGAAAATTCAATGGACTCTAATATGCCAAGTAACATGCCTTCTAGTGATACGTTTGAGACAGTAAAGGGGTTTAGAAACGTTGGTGACATGACAACCACGCCTGCAAACTTGAGTCAAGAGAACTTAAAACTAGGCAGTGAGGTGAACCCAGAATCAAAGGTAAATAATTCGGATTTCGATTTCCTACAATTTACAAGCACATCTCCAGCAAATGTGGCAAATCAACCAAATCCTATGGCTACTGCATCATCAGATGATACACTAGGCATTAATTTACAGATGCCATCGGGTATGGGTGGCACAGGTGATATATACAATAACTCAGATTTAGCTGGTATTGAAGGTTTAACGTATTTGGATGAAGAACAACAATTATGGAATGAAATCACTAATGATGCTGTTTGGTTAAATGTACCAAATACAAATAATCAACTGAACAGCGACTTGGCTAATAAAGTCAATGGCCAACCAAGTAGCATGGAATTTAACGGTCCACTTCATGGTTTTGATTCAACGTCCAAATTGTTTGGGAGCCTGTCAGGAGCTAATTTTTCAAATTTATCGGGTGGATATACTGATATAGTGAACCAAGAATTTCAGGATATAATGGATGAATGATTTAATGGGTATTAGAGTTACATAATTTAGTATTGCAACATACTTTTGGTTTATAGAGTTTAATACTTTAATATTAACGTCTAACGAAAGAAAAATGTAGTCATTATCACAAAACGTGTATTTCTATTAAGTCAGTAATTATACAAATGGTAAAATACATATATATTTGAATTAGAAGAAATGCATATTAGAAGAATCATTCAAAGACTGGGGATTATTATTAGACGGTGTACCGTTCATCTGTTGTAAGATTTGTTGTGGAGATATTCCTTGCATGGAAGGTTGTTGTGGCTGCAGTTGTTGACCCATGTTCATATTAGTATAGTTATTGTTAGCAGGTTGTGGGTTGAAATTAGATGGCATTTGTTGTTGAGATTGTGGTCGAACTTGCGGAGGTTGAGGCTGCAGTTGTTGTTGCATAAAATTTTGAGGGATATCCTTAGGGCCCATATTTTGAAAACTATTATTTGCTATATTGTTAAGCATGGAGTTATTCATCATCGCTGGAGATGGCTGCATTTGTTGTGGCATTTGTGGACTATTGAACTGAGGTTGTGCTGACTGCGACGCTGATCGAGGTTGTTGCGTATTTGGTTGCCCTTGGGACAGCTTCCTCATTTGATTTATCTTCACTTTCAAAAACTGGAGAGCCTCGGGGTATAAATCTTGTAATTTATTGTATAACTGTTGCAACTCAGGCATATCTTGAGGAGCAGACATAATAATGGGGAATTGCGCCCTATTTGTCGAAGTCTGTTGCTTTGGGTCGGTATGATATTTTTCGTGAAGATACGATAATACCGAAAGATTACAATGGATTCTGCGAGTACAGTTTTGATACAGTTCTAATATGGTCTGTTTATTCTGTGGTGGAATTTGTTGCATTGTCTGTTGGTTGGTTAAAACATTAACATAAATATTTACTGCTTTTTTCATTAGCTGGGCATTTATAAGCAAGAGACACGTTACACGCTCCCTATCAAGATCAAGTGGATTTCGTTTGTCAGGAATCGAACTCATCTTGTCAAGTTGTATTTGAATAGATATGTTGTAGTATTAGTATCACCAGATTTACATTTTTATTAACAAAAGTACTCGACGCACGTGATTTACTTTTCATCAAAGACGAATACCTACAGTTTCGATAGTAACGTAATAATGTGTATAGAAAGGATGGAGATGTCATAAACGAGCTAGAAATGAAGGGCAATAATAGCTAAAGATCTATAATTTTTCAGTTAATTCTGGAACTGCTTCATTGATGTCTGCAACTAATCCAATATCTGCGACATTGAAGATTGGAGCTTCAGGGTCCTTATTGACGGCTACAATGGTCTTAGCATCCTTCATACCGGCTAAATGTTGAATAGCACCAGAGATACCAACAGCAATGTATAATTCTGGGGCCACGATCTTACCGGTTTGACCAACTTGTAATGAATTGTCACAGAACCCAGAATCCACTGCGACTCTGGAAGCACCTACAGCCGCATTCAATTTCGATGCCAATGGCTCAATCAACTTTTCGAAGGTTTCCTTGTTCTTCAACCCACGACCACCGGAAACGACTCTGGTAGCAGAACCCAATTCTGGTCTTTCGGAAGTGACCAAGTCTTCCTTGACGAACTCAGTTCTACTATTGGATTCGCTAGATTGGGTATACTCCTCAATTGGCGTAGAACCATCGCCGCTCAATTCAACTGGAGGGAATGCGGATGCTCTAACAGACGCAAGAACAACCTTCTCGTTGGATTTAACGGTCGCCAACGCATTACCAGCGTAAATTGGTCTGACAAAAGTATTTTCTGACTCAACTTTGAGGATATCAGAAACTGGCTGAATATCCATCAATGCACCAACTCTTGGTAAAACCGATTTTCCAACCGCTGATGCTGGAATGATGAAATGCGTGTAATCGGAAGATTCCAATACTTCCTTGATTAATGGGGACAATTCCTCCGCCAAATAATGGTCGTAATTACTACTTTTTGACACCACGATCTTCGAAATACCGGGAATCTTAGCCACATCAGATGCAATAGCACTACCTTCAGTACCAGCTAATAATGCCGTAATTGGCTTGCCTATTTGCGTAGCAGCACTCACCGCTGAAAGCGAAGCTGGTGAAATTTTGGAGCCGGTGGACTCAATAAAAGCAAGTGTATCCAACGAAACCCTGGTACTTGAAAAGAATCTTCTACTAATTGAATTGCGTAACATGATATAACCTGATATATTAGGGTCGTATTACATGATACCAGTCTATGTTTAAGTCCAGCTTTTGTTCATAGTTCAAAAAATTCAACTCTTTCACGTGATGGAGCCGGTTTCGGAGATCAACCAACTGGCATTACAAGATACCCATTGCTACAGCTATAACGAGTCTAACTAAGCCTACAATACCCTGGTAGCACCTAAAATTCTCTGGGAAGAGGTATTGGTAAAGTAAATATTTTTGAACAAAAGATGGCACTGAAAATCGGTCCTTGATGGTCAATTAGGCATGTTTAACGTCTACTGGGCTATCGAATAACCTTTAAATAAGACGACAGTGATACTATATCGTACTGGTTGAGATTATCGAGCAAAAAGCAAGCAAAAAGCATCTTAATACATCTATTAGGCGTAATTTTCTTTGCATGCTCCACTAAACGTACCTGACTCATATAATGCTCGAGTGAGAACCAACAGACAGTAATACTTGATAGCAGATTAACTTTCACTTCATGTTTATTATCCAGGAGTATTCACATACAATCAGATGGACATCACACTCTACTCCAACCATATAATAGTCCAAAGGATGCAATTAGGGTCTTATATTCCATTGTATACAGTAGGGTCTTGTCTCACGTGGGGGTTAGGTACTCGAATCAAAATGCAGATATAAATCGTTGATAATCATACTGATAAGACAAACTACTTTATGTTTAAAGAATAACATGCATCGGCCTGATAACTCGTCGTCTAGGACGCAAGCGTCACCATCGAGATCGAACACTAGAAGTGACCCCAATATGAGACGAGCAACTAGTCAGTCGCCAAGTGTAAGGCACATATCACAGAGAAAAGTAAACACCCTGGAGAGAAAACCACTTTTAGATAGAGCAAATTCGGATATGGTGGACTACCAGGCTGCGGGAAACATACAACCGGGTAGGAACTTGCGTCTGTCGGATATATACCGGGATGATGTGGATTCTATTGTATATAATAATGCTGTTTCTGATGCAAGCTGCAATGAAGGTCATAAGAGGCCATCGTTGACCCAAGCTGTAACAAATGAGGATATGCAGAGTACAAGAAGTGAATACTTGATGGGAATGAATCTTAATCGAGAGGATTTGAGTTGGAAGGTGATTTTGCCATATTATCTACCATTTTTGTCGTGGATCCATCATTATTGTCCGTCTTTCTTCGTGGGGGATTTGGTAGCTGGTCTTTCGTTGGTATTCTTTCAGTTGCCGTTGTCGCTTTCATATGCGACTTCATTGGCCCATGTCCCCGTTATATGCGGATTATATTCGCTTGCAATATCGCCGTTGGTGTACATGGTGTTTGGAAGCGTGCCGCAAATGATCGTGGGTCCCGAGGCAGCTATTCTGTTAATTGTGGGACAAGCAGTAGAACCATTATTGCATCATTATAAGAAAAAGCATTCAGAAAAATTAGACCCTGTTGAATTAGTCGTTGCCATTACATTCATTAGTGGTGCCAGTCTTCTAGGGTTTGGGTTAGGTAGATTCGGATTTTTGGACAATGTTTTGAGTGCCTCCTTACTAAAGGGGTTTATCAGTGGAGTTGGTATTGTTATGGCAATTAACTCGACGATTGTTATGTTGGGGTTAACAGAACTATTACAAGAAATCACCGAGGACCCAGCCAAGATGGATATTCACTCCCCATTTGATAAAATGCGGTTCTTATTTCAGCATTATAAGCAGTTTCACTCTTTAACCTTCAAGATTAGTATTATAGCATTTGTTGTGATCTTGTTGTGCCGTGTATTCAAAAACTTTACGTCAAAGAAAAATTCAAACCTCCTGAAGAAATGTGTATACCTTCCAGAGATTTTATTTGTTGTAATTGTGTCGACAAGTTTGTGTGCTGTGAATCGGTGGGATGAAAAAGGCATAGAAATTATAGGAAAAGTTACTGACGTTTCTTCATCTCAAATCTTGCATAATCCTGTTGCGGTCGAAAGGTTGTATCTTATCAAAAAACTTAGTACTCCGGGCTTTCTCTGTGCCATGCTAGGATTCTTCGAATCAACTACTGCACTGAAATCATTGGGATCGAGATACGATTTACCTATCTCCTCTAATAGAGAATTGGTGGCCTTAGGTGCGATGAATATATTGGTATCGATATTTGGAGGTTTGCCAGCGTTTGGCGGTTATGGACGATCAAAGATTAACGCAATTTCCGCTAAAACCACTATGCTGGGTGCTATTATGGGTCTCTGTACCATATTTACAATTTCATATCTCCTAGATGCATTGTATTATGTTCCAAAATGTATTTTGAGTGCTATAACGGCAGTAATTGGTATTCTGTTAATAGATGAAGCACCTCATGAATTGTGGTTTCATTGGAAAAGTAAAGGCTACAATGAGTTGATTACATTTTTCATCACTGTAATGACCACGTTATTCTTTTCGATGGAAGCAGGTATAGCTGTTGGATTAATATATCTGTTGATTAGAGTGATAAAGCATTCGGCCCTGTCCAGAATTCAAATCCTTGGCCGAATTTCTGGATCTGATACTTTTGTGAATGCTGATGTATCACATATAGCACCAAATACTGGCCTACCATACGATGATATTAAACACCCTCACCATCCATTGAATATATTTACCGATGATAATTTTACTCATTTAAATTTAAAGGTGATAGAGGAAATCGAAGGATGTCTTATAGTGAAAATCCCTGAACCCTTGACGTTTACAAATACCAGTGATTTAAGAGGCCGCCTCAAACGTGTTGAGATGTATGGCTCAACTAAAGCTCACCCAGCGCAGAGAAGGACAAGAGATGTTACCATGACAAAATATGTTATATTCGACCTTAAAGGCATGACAGGACTTGATTCATCGGCGGCTCAGATTTTAAAAGAGTTAATCAAGCGTTATACAAACAGAAATATTTATTCATTTTTCGTCAGGGTCAATGACGAAGAGAAATTAAGACACAGACTCGAGAATACCGGTATTACTAAGTTATTGGCTGAGGTTTTGGAGTCAATTAAATATAATGATGGCCAGAATATCTTAATGTTCAATAAAATTAAGGACAGAAAGGTTTTCAGTCTTCAGCGTGAAAACTCCGATATATCGCAACCTGATATGGATCAACATATGGAAATTTATAACCTTACTGAAAATTCACATACTCCATACTTTAGGCATATAAGTGACGTTTTGAAAGTAATCGATTACTACGAAATTAACAACCAGTTAGAATCAAGAAACGAATTCTTGGATGTTGACCAGACTGAGAGAAGATCAAGTTTACCGTCCATCGATATTGCTTGAGTTAGTACTAGTAGTTTAGTACTGAAGTGTGTTTTTACCTTACTTGCATAAGTTCAATTCAAATATATATCTTTTTTAGTATATATTGTATGTAATAACATCTGGGTCATAATGAGCAAAATTTAGTAAACGCGTAATATATTAAACAAAAATTAATTTTCACTTTTATAGATAACGACATCATTCAATCATGTCTTTGGAAGCAGAAGTGTCTGAACTAGGTCAAGACGATTCTCAAAGAGAATTGACCATAAAGGAAGAATATCAATTATGGAGAAAAAACTGTCGTTATATGTACGAGTTTGTCAGTGAGACTGCGTTGACATGGCCCTCTTTAACAATCCAGTGGTTACCAGAAAATAAAACGAATGAAGCAGAAGGCTTGATTGACGCCAAGTTATTATTAGGGACACATACTTCAGGTGAAGATACGAATTACTTGAAGCTAGCTAGTACGCAGATACCATTGTCGAATTCAAGTAACACAGAAGAAAAATCAAACAAGAAGGTTACTTCCCGTATTAAAATCACCAAAAAGTTCGAAAACAACTTTGAAATAAATAGAGCCCGTTACATGCCTCAAGATCCATCCATTGTGTCTACGATTAATGGTGCAGGTGAAATTGATCTTTATAATTTGGGTGGTGATCAAAAATCTGCGATTGGACATTTCACTCCCCATGAGGACAATGGTTATGGTTTATCGTGGAGTTCCCATAAGAAAGGGTACTTGTTAACCGCTTCAGACGATAAAACAGTAGTCTTAACTGATACTTCTAAGCTTGATGCTACGGATTCATCACAAGTTTGCAAATTTACTACACACAAAGACATTGTAAATGATGCTAAATGGCACCAGTTCAATGAGAGCTTATTTGGATCGGTTTCTGATGACAAGTACTTCTATCTCTTTGACATCAGAACCCCAGGTGACCCCGTATCCAGATTCTACCACCCAGAATCAGAGGGAATAAACTCACTTTCGTTCTCGCCGTTTTCGCAATACTTGGTAGCCACCGGTAACGCCAATTCTAATATTAGTTTATTAGACACCAGAAAATTATCTACGAAGTCAGGAGTTTCCGATGGCTTACTACACACAATGATGGGCCACTCTGATTCGATCACCAGTTTGGAGTTCTCTCCCCATAAGGATGGCATGCTTGCGTCTGGTTCGCAAGATCGTCGTCTTATCTTGTGGGATTTATTCAAGGTCGGTGAAGAGCAAGCCCAAGAAGATGCCGAAGATGGCTGTCCAGAATTGTTCATGATGCATGCTGGTCATACTGGTGCAGTTACAGATTTAAGTTGGTGTCCTTACAAAGACTGGACCATTGGTTCAGTAGCCGATGACAATATTGTACACTTATGGGAAATCGGTAAGACTCTACTTAACGCCGAGAAGGGAATTGAGTTGAAGGATACCGATTTAGAATAGAATACCTACCTTGTAAGTTTAATATATGTACTATACTGTAATCACTCTAGATATATTGCGACATTTATTTTATGTCGTATAATTGAAAGGCTCAATGTCGCATTCTTGTCTATGAAACAATTCGTCTAGTTGAAAAGATACGGATTTAGACCATAAAGCATTACTAAACACTCAACAAAACAAACTGGGTCTTAAATACATTATGTCTGATTTCCCACCTAATTTATCTATAAGACCTTTAACTATTGAGGATCTTGATCAATGTGTTAGCTTAGAAAATCGAGGTTTTCCAGAATCTGAAAGAGGTTCGCCTGACAAATTTAAATATAGATTAACTTCATGTCCCGAATTATGTTCAGGTTTGTTTATTAGAGAATATATCCCTAAGTACAATGCTATTAATTTGCCTGAAGTTGCAAAACAAAAGGAAAAGGAAGTTGCTCCAGAAGAGACTGAAGACGAGAACCTCGACGAATTACCATACGAATCGGCCGTGGTCAAGGAAACTTTAATTGGCCATATAATCGCTACCAAGACATATTCTTCTACTATAACCAAGTCATCTATGGAAGTGTCATCAGCTGAGGACTCAACAGCGGGCCATTTTGAACATTCGAGATTCATTGGTATCCACGCGTTGGTCATAGATCCAGAATGGCAAGGCAAGAACTTGGGAACATTATTGATGCATGACTACATCCAAAAATTGTCTAACCAAGACTTGGGCGATAAGGTTATCATCATTGCCCATAAGGAATTGATTCCATTCTACGAGAAAATAGGTTTTCACACTTTGGGTGAAAGTGAATGCAAATTTGCTAATACCAAGTGGTATGACCTCGCTATTGATTTAGTTCCTGAACAGGATGATTAAGCATAATGAATTTGTAGTAATTTTTTACAGTATGGTCCAATAAAGTCTCATAAATCATTATTTAGTTGTATTTATACTTAATAACGCCTTTTTACGTACAGTTAGTTTACCTTTCAACACTAAATTGCCAGAATTATTCACTCTGTAAGGATTGGTCCTCTTGATGGACATTTAAACGAATGTAGAGTTTTTCATTGGTTATAAGGAATATTTTAATTTTTCAAATTGTGACTGAACTCAGCTAGTCTTGATATCTCGCGACAACTTTTTTTAGAAACAGAATGAGATAATAATAGTATGACGAAGTATTGAGTGATTATGTTTGAAGTACCTAAACCTATAAAGAAGGTATTCGATACCTTCCCTTTGTATACATATAATCCTATTCCCAATACTACCCCTTCTAATTTTCAATCTATTGAGTCCAATAAGTTTTACTTCACTTCCAGCAATGACCAAGCCAAAGATAATGCATGTTTTACGTTAGGAGTACATAACATATATCTGGTAAACACGGCTAATGGAGAAAAGGAAATACCTTCAGACCCTATTTCCTTGGGACATTCATTAATTTTATGTCATAAAAATGATCTTAAATTACCAACTTCTGGTGATAATATTGGTTCTAAGTCGAAGCACTCTATAATGAGATTATCGTATCATGCATCACCAGATAATCAGTTACCAATACTCATTGAAGACGATCTCAACTCGCAAACCCGTAACATAAGATCTGCATTATCAATGAACCAATCTGTTAAAGTGAATAATAACTTTTCTGAGAATGCTCTGGCCCGTATAATTAACGAATTAGTGGATACTGAACTTGCTGATTTATGGATATTGTGTCTCTTGAGTGACTTACCAAGTTCCAATCCTTTTGTATTTAACAAATTGTTCAAGTTAGATGAAGAAATCACGAAGTCAACGTTCACTAACAAAATCACAATTATGTCGATTTTAAATGAAATTCCAAGATGGGGTTCATTCCAAATAAGATACTCTTATCTATTCGACCACTCCAGAACAAAGTCGTTCATTAATATGCCGCAGAGATTACAATCGGAAGATATATTAGAAGTATTTGCAAATACAAATAATGAATCTATCAGAAAGGCGTACAATGACAAATTGAAAGAATTTGAAATAAATTTAGAATTGCTAATTGATTATATTAGAAACAGTGAGTCAAACGAACAGAAGAAGATAATTGAATTAAAATTAGTTGGCTTCATTATAATTATGGATTCATTATTAAATAATACCAAATTACATGAGGTTCTTTCTAAGGACAAATTTAGTTCCTTCGTGAAGCTTTGCTACGAAATTATTGGTAAGTATTAAGTCTATTAATATACATATTGTACATAGGGTTTTAATTAGCACTTTTCCCAAACTTGTATAAAGCTTTCATCTAAAAACATCAATTCGCTCTCGCAGGTTTCAACTTCCAAATCTCTTATTGTAACCCATTGATCAGTCTCCTGATCTTTACGTAAATTGACTGACCACTGATGCTTATCATCCCCATGATCCAATTTAACCCCTGGTATTAATTCATGCTTTATACTAGATATGAGTTTATAACGGATTGGCTCATTACTCAGATTGAGGACATATGGAGACATGTCGATAACTGATGGGAACTTTACCACTGTTGGGTTGCCCCTAGAATTTTCGTCACCATTATCTAAACCTCTGTCGATATGAAAAATTATGTAAGGAGGTAACGGTTCTACTAATTGATAAGCTTTTAATTCTGTACGGGATACTTGTACTGTGGTCTTTCCATCATATTTCTCTAGAAGCAGTTGTATTGAGACTTGTGGAATTTGCGATGTCTGTTCACCTTGATTGGATGTACCTTGGAAAAGTGCGTTTCCCGGTATGTCCAATGATAATACCCAAAATTTCAGTATGTTTGTAACCTTATCTTTGTCTTGAACACTGAAATCTACCTTGTTCGTCAATTCATTAGTCGCTGCTGTTATTGGAATCGTAGAAACCTGAATCAGCCCCTGTAGTGACTTAGAAAATATGGTAGAGTTATTCCTAGTGCTCTTGATTAGCTGAATATGTAGTTGATTCAAAAGCCAAATCATAAACGCTTTAGGTGATTTCTGTTCAGCGATTCCAAACTTCTTCTTGGATATATTAGAAATGTATTGTAAGAGCTCATGAGGGGATATATGGCTTTTGAACAAATAACTCGACCATAATTTCCTTACTAGTAATCCAAAAAGGTTATTCAATTGTGACTTTCTTATAATTCGCTCATTGAGATCTTTCTTCTCCGATAATGTTAAGCCAAGATAGAAGTCTCTAATAGGAGGGATATGACTTATCGATTGAAATATAACATTCGCATAGTCGTTGGCCGAAAGATTATTGAGTCCAATAAATCCAACCACGTAAGGCTTATGATTTAAATCGTGTCCTATTTGCACTTTCTTGGATAAGTTTTGTATTGCCACTTTTGAATATACGGGATTTAGTAATAACTTAATGTCCAGTAAATGATTCGATGCCTTCTGTGACGTTAATTCATAATTATCAGGTAAAATGTATGTTTTGGCTGTCTCCAAGTTTATAAACACTCTGTGATTAGCATTCACAGAGTGTAAATAGGCATGAGATGATTTCGAACGGCCTTGAAAAAATTTACCGCAAACCAAGCAACAATATACGTTCACATTAGACAAGGTTATCAGACAAACTTTCTCAAAGTCAAAATCTAGCAAATGTCTATTAATTGTATCTAAACAAAATCCATCATCATTAGCAGATCCATCTTGCATGTATGAATTCTGTAAAAGGTATAGAGGCAACTCTTCATCATCTGAACTATAGGCCTCAAATTTGCTGTCAGTCTTTTGTTTTTTCAAAGGTCTATCCTCTGTAGCAGACATATTTGTTCTATCTATAATGTATGATAGTACAGTTTTGCAAGTACAATATTTCAGAGTACTCTTATTACACAAAATAAAATGGTAAAATATATAAATGAAGACTAAATCTATTTTATTATATTATATGATACCAAACTAATGAATAGCTAAACTATTAATATTTCCCGTCAATAACGAAGTAACATTTTCTTCGATCGAAGCTTCAGCAGTGTCAGATAAGTGCTTCTTTGGATCTTGTTTACCGACATATCTTGTTTTCAATTGTTCTTCCAGCAATTCCTGTTCTTCTTTTACTCTCTGGTTGTACAATTCCGCGATCTTGACCATCGTTTCAGTATTTTCTAAGTTCTCATGCTCCTTATGATTATAGTCGACCATTTTCAAACCTGATTGCCAGTTTTTCTTGTGCAAGTTTAAGAGCATGTTGGTCTCATACGAAGTTTTGTGATAATCGATGTTCAATGAGTAGTAGTGACGGTTCAACCCATGGATTAATGCTTGAATGGAAGGCTTGTTTAAATGCCCCACGTTAGAAGTAGTTTGACGAGGTTCTTGGCCCATCATCAACGTGGTGGTGTCAATGGTTCTGAAGGCATCAATGACAACCTTACCCTTGACAGACTGGATTGGATCCACCACAACTGCCACAGCTCTCTTATTCAACTGCTCGAATGATTGCTGTGTGTTTACATCGACAGAAGATAACCAACAACCAAACCCTGGATGTGAATGGTACCATCCGACCACCATTTGATCTCTACCTGTTTGTCTCAACATATCCATCATTTTAGTCTGGAATACGTCATCCACTGCTTCAACAGATACCCCTGTACCAGATTGAGGCATGGCAAATACATCGATAACATGAATCGTAAATTCGTCAACAAACTCTCCTAACATCAACCCCATGACTTCCATTGGAACCCCAGCACGTCCGTGCTTCAACATCTTTAACAACGCCAATGACGATATATGTACTGTCTCAGCATTATCAATTGCTGGTCCATCTGTTGGAGGTGGTGCTCCTCCTAATCCACCACCTGATCCTAACAATCTTTGTAATCTTTCCATCGTCTATTTATTATAATTATTCTTCCAATTCAGACTTTTCTACACTATTTCCAATCAATTACTAATTCTCTTGGGTTGCTTATTTCTATTCACAACTTTTGAGTTAATGTAAGCGTATATCTATAATAATATTCGAATAATCCTTTAATCTGTCCTCTTGGTGGCAAGCTTCTGATGTTGGTGAAGTTTGAGTCTTGTGGTTTTGTGACACTTTTGTCAAAATTTATCCATGTGCAGGACTTTCATCCGATTCCCTAGTACAATAGAGGATATACTGGTATACGGGTAGATAATGGACTATTTCAAGCTAGTAAAATGTCTATGTAGGTCGGAACGATGTTTATGCTAGTTGCGGGTGGTTTTTCAAGCAATGGCGTGACTCATGTTAGTTAAAACAGTCACTAGAGTAAAATGAATGCCTGTAATACACGGAACCAACCCTGGGCTCTGTAACCATAATAAAATGCCTTAAATTTTTCAGTCAACCCGTTTCTCTGAATTATTCAACAGGTTTAGGAACAAAGGAAGGAATTACTGTTGATACGAAGCAATTAAGATGATCGACACACCTGTATCATTGAAGGGTAAGAAATACCCAGCAAAAGAGCATGCTAAGAAAGTCTGTAAGCACTTTAAGTGCAAAAGCAAGACCGATTCAAAAAGCGATGTTGCATTTTTCATCAGTGGTGAAGATTTAGAGTTGTACGATTATTGTGATCAGACTAAGCCTATTAGACAAAACAGATACTTTTTTTACTTGAGTGGGGTGTCAATTCCAGGATCCCATATTTTATATCAATGTGGGAAAGATAAATTGATCCTTTATCTCCCCAACATCGATGTAGATGATGTTATGTGGTCTGGAATGCCAATGAGCTTACAAGAGGCCCAGGATAAATATGATGTGGACGAAGTCAAATATGTATCTGACTTACAAAAAGACCTCGAGTCCGTGGTCAATGCATCGACAATTTACACTACGGACATCAATAAATTTAACCAGAAATATGGACAATTTTTAACCGAAAAGGACGAAGACTTTTTCTTTGCAATGGATGAATCTAGATTGATCAAGGATTCATACGAGCTTCAATTAATGCGTCATGCTGCTGCGATCACCGACAAGTGTCATTTGGCTGTGATGTCTGCCATTCCAATCGAGACAAATGAAACCCATATCCACGCAGAATTCATGTACCATGCCCTCAGACAAGGATCCAAGTACCAATCTTATGATCCAGTCTGTTGTAGTGGTCCAAACTGCTCTACATTACACTATGTAAAGAACGATGACGAAATTGATTCCAGAAGATCGATTTTGATCGATGCGGGGGCCGAATGGGAATGCTATGCTAGTGATGTTACTAGATGTTTCCCTATCAACGGAGACTGGTCTAAAGAACACTTAGAAATCTACAATGCTGTATTGAAGATGCAATCCGTCACCATGGATATGATCAAGCCAGGTGCCAACTGGGATGACCTTCACTTGACTGCCCATAAAATCATGATTGACGAATTTTTGAAATTGGGTATCTTCAATTCCAAGTTCTCGGCCCAAGAACTCTATGAGTCCAAGATCTCTGCTAGATTCTTCCCTCACGGCTTGGGCCATTTGTTAGGTATGGACACTCACGATGTTGGTGGCCATCCAAACTACGAAGATCCTGACCCATTATTACAATATTTAAGATTGCGCAGAACTTTGCAAGCCGGTATGGTCCTCACAGACGAACCTGGCATCTACTTTTCCCCATTCTTATTGAAGGATGTCTTGGAAGATGAATCAAAGATGAACTACATCAATAAGGATGTGTTGGACAAATACTGGTACATTGGAGGTGTGAGAATCGAAGACGACTTATTGGTCACCGAATCTGGCTTCGAAAATTTCACCGGTATCACTTCTGACCCTACTGAAATCTCCAAGATTGTTAAACAAGGCTTAGCTAGAGGTAAGGACGCTTTCCATAATGTTATATAGGTTATCATAAGTAGACCATTTCTATATTGTTATACATATATCACGTGCACGACTCAATGAGGAAGCAATCACCAGGATTGAATCGATAAAGGGTACAAAGAACTTGTATTTCATGATTGATCTGTATAATTCAAGTTATTGAATCGATTGGTAGATTAGGTCAGTTTAATAGATATTCAAGCTACAATGGATGAAAATTATGATGTTATTGTTTTAGGAACCGGGTTGACTGAGTGTATTCTCTCAGGAGTTTTGTCAGTTGAAGGGAAGAAAGTGTTACACATTGACCGTCAGGATTTCTACGGTGGAGAATCTGCATCTTTGAACTTGTCACAATTGTACTCTAAGTTCAAGCCTTCTGCTCAAAAACCAGAATTGAAAGGTAGAGATCGTGACTGGTGCGTTGACTTGATTCCTAAATTTTTAATGGCGAATGGAGAATTAACCAATATTTTGGTACACACCGACGTCACGAGATACATTGAATTCAAGCAGATTGGAGGAAGTTATGTGTATAGAAATGGGCGTATTGCTAAGGTTCCTTCTAATGAGATGGAGGCAGTTAGAAGTTCATTGATGGGAATATTCGAAAAGAGAAGAATGAAGAGGTTTTTAGAATTCATTGCTAACTATAAGGAAGAGGAGCCAAAAACCCACCAAGGGTTGAATTTGGATTCCAGCACCATGAATGATGTCTACAACCACTTTGGATTAGAAAACGGTACCAAAGATTTCATTGGTCATGCCATGGCATTATGGTCGAATGACGACTACTTAAATGAGGTTGCCAGACCAACTTATGATAGAATTGTCTTGTATGTGCAATCGGTGGCCAAGTATGGTAAATCTCCATATATTTATCCATTATATGGTTTAGGTGAATTACCACAAGGGTTTGCTAGATTATCGGCAATTTACGGTGGTACGTACATGCTAGACACACCTATTGATGAAGTTTTATACACTGATGATAAAAAGTTTGCCGGTGTCAAGACGAAAGAAGGTACTGCAAAAGCTCCAATTGTGATTGCTGACCCAACTTATTTCCCAGAGAAGGTTAAGAAGACAGGTAGCAGGGTCATTAGAGCCATGTGTATTATGGACCACCCAATTCCAAACACTAATGACTTAGATTCTGTTCAATTGATCATTCCTCAAAACCAAATTGGCCGTAAGAGTGATATCTATATCACTGTCTTGTCCGATGTCCATTGTGTTGTTCCAAAGGGCTATTATTTGGCAATCGTCTCAACCATTATCGAAACTGAACAGCCCCATGTTGAATTGGAACCTGCGTTTAAGTTATTGGGCCCAAGATTAGATACGTTAATGGGTATCGCCGAATTATATGAACCTTTGGAAGACGGTACATCCGATGGAATCTACTTATCAAAGAGTTACGATTCTACTTCTCATTTCGAAAGTACTACCGATGATGTTAAAGATTTATATTTCAGAGTCATGGGTAAGCCTTTGGTCTTAAAGAAAAGACCAAATGCCGAAGAAGAAGAGGCCTTAAACGGTCTTGAATAGATACTATATCTATATTTTTGTGTATTTGTTTCGTTTAATTGCTCTATCACATATGCTATTTAGGTATATATACACAAATGAAAATTTGATCTTCAGAATGTCTTAGATCAAAGATTTTGTAGATTTATAATGATTGAGTAGTTCTTACAATTTTTCAGAAACTTTGCATAAATCAGAAATTGCAAAAGGCTACATTTTCTATTTTTTTCTACTTTTTATAATAAATATGATAACTACAACCTTCGGAACTCTTCATACTAATATTGAAATACATACACCAAGTTCTGCTAATGTTCCATTTAGCTGCAAATTTTACTTGGAACCACGGCAAATGGTTCCGTCTCAATCTCGATTGAGATATAGTATGAAAAATACATCTTAACAATTTAAATATTATTGAAGTCAATGACAT